TGCCCCCCCCCACCCCCTCCCCCTTCTTTTTGCTGAATTTTCTACAATTTCAAAGAGGAAAAAGTACCGAGAGGGTCTAAAAGCTATATTGGGAGAATTCCCTCTGTAAAAAGTTTTGAATATAATAACTGCCGCAATCTGTGTGAGTGCATAGTATGTATGGAAGTATGCATGTATGAATGTTATGGACAACGTTGTTTTTTTATATGTAGATTTTGCTATAGAAATGAAATTACGGGTGCGATAAATATGAGATTTTGTAACAAATAAAGTTTATATTTTTACAAGAAAAAGGTCTCGGTCTGTTTAGTAACCATCTCTTAACAGTGTCCTCTCCTTTGAGAACACTGCTACCATTTTTTTGTGCTCATTAACTCCGGTTACTTGACCTAGATGACCTATTTCAATTAATACAAAGGGATATACATAGTATATCGGAGCTCCAGGGTACCAAACACTTATTTTCTCTATTGATAGAAAGGGCCCCCTTTCTTTCCATCTGATGTACTGTGTTGTGCAACTGCTGTTGATGCCCTGCTCTTGTAATTGTGGTGGGTGAGGAGTGGGGGCATGATATGTGTATATTATTACAATGCAGATATCTTGTTAGTTGGGGATTCTCAATTACTGACCTGCAGAATTGAACGGTCCGCGTAAAGTGATCCCAGAAAAATCAAGCTGCCAGCCACCATGGTGCCCTAAAACAACATCAGGCAATCATTGCCAGCTGTGTATAGTAGAACAACATATTAGCGTAATGACAGGCACTCTTCCCTTCCAGTGCTGACATTAACGTTACCACCTGCCCAGTTTTTTACCGTACCTTACATTAATCTGTAAAAGTGCAAATTTTTACCATTGTTACTAATAGGAAAATGACTGTAAGGCCCGTAGTTTTTGTTTGCAAAAGTGGTGGCAACTGTAGGTGGGGTTCTGGGTTTAGTTCTAAGTAAGGACATTGTGTGCACAGAGTTTGTATGTTCTCCCCATATTTTTTGGTTTACTTTGGGTGCCCAAGTTTCAACCCACAACCCAAATACGGTACATACTAATAAATACTTTGCTCATGTTGACCCTAGTGTTTGGAATTGATTTAAGAAAAGAATGGAGAATGTTCACTTGGCAAAATGGCTGCTCACTCACATGAACCTAGTACTACTTTATTTACTAAGCTAAGTGAAAATGCACTTTTTTGAATAAACATTCACTGTGCTATGTGAATATTATCTACTTCTTTAGTTAACCCCATTTTCACCTGCACATATTGTGAAACCCTGTGATGTTTGTTGGAACTTTATACATCAATGTAGTTATACAAAACAAAAATATGTCCACATTTATTTTTGCGTTGACTAGGGATGCACTGATACAGATACTAGTATCGGTGCCGATGCCGAGTATTTGGGCGAGGAATCGTACTCGCCCAAATGCTCTGATGCCTAGCCCGATACTTCCGGTATCAGGAAGCCAGGCAGCGAGTCATTACATGCTGCCCGGCTTCCTGATTGGCCGGGAAGCCGGCTCCATGCCTTCTTGTCACCCAGTGACGAGAAAGCATGGGGACGGCTTCCCTGCTAATCGGGAATCCAGGTGGCGAGTCTTTACATGCCGCACGGCTTCCCGGCTAATCAGGAAGCCAGGTGGTGAGTTATTACACGTCACCTGGCTTCCTTATTGGGACTTCCGGTATCGGCGAGTACCAAAAAATATATATCTGTGCTCGATACTGAAAAGCCGGTATCGGTGCATCCCTACGTTTAACTATAGTTTAACTTCTTCTGTGAACTTAGATCAAATGCCTAGTTTGAGTCAATATTTTACATTTGTCAGGCGATATGGATGCAGTAATCTTCTAAAGAGCTAAATCAATTTGGTACTGTACAAAAAGATCAGTGTTCTATAGATCAGTGATTGTAAATACCTTCAACATGTTTTGCAGGTTAGTATTGGATAGATAAGGTTTCATTGTAGCATTCAATCTGGTCATAGCTGAGCTCACAAGTCACATCACCTTGATGCTCTAATCTTATGTTCTATTTAGAGAACGAGGATGATTTTGAAGATTCCATGCAAACATATTTAGTTACCTTTTGCATTTAAGCCACTTTAGAAAAAAATAATTATGTTCCTTCATAAGATTATAGTCTAATAACATTGGGTATAAATATGAAATCATGCTAATTTTTCCATAGCTGGTACCTAATACACCACTCAATAAGCATTTCATACCTCCTATAACAGAGAGCAGCTCAACTGGGGATGTGATTTCCAGCCCATCCAGCAACAAGGAGCCTCCACCATCACCACTAAGTGACAAAAAGAAGAACAGGAAAAAGAAAAGTATGACACCCTCCAAAACAGAGGGCTCGGCAGGACAGGCAGATGGTATGTTTGTGTGTCATAAATGCTCATTTACTAGCTGCAAAGAGTACAGTAGAATATTGACATTGAACCTAATCAGTTCATGCATCATCTCTATATATAGATGGTGACATCAAAAGAACGGAAAACCTCTGTTAGTTTAATTGTTTTAGAGTATACTTTATGTGTGGGCAAGAAATACCAACCATATGCAATATATCACTGTACTACATGCACATTTCCAAATGTTTTGTCTATGTACAAACCCTGTAAGTACAGAAAAATACCTGTTGATCCGGCCAAAAATCCAGTGAGCTGCTAACTGTAGTAAGTAGACAAAATTGCCTCGTCTGCACTGAAATCCCAAGAAGTGATGTCAGCCTACTCAGCCCTACCCAGTTCTCCTGGTCTAAGAAACACCTTCCCTAATGTTATAAGGATGGCGAGAGAGAAAGATATTCTGTAGTCAAGCAGGGGATCAGGGGATATAACAGGCAGGCAAGGCTGAGGCAGGCTGCCAACACTGATTGAGATTTCAGTACTGGCTCAGGTAGTTAGGAGCTCACTGGATTTCTCTCAGGTCACCAGGTACTATATATTTAAAGCATTTGTAAATAGGCAAAACATGCAGAGATATACTGCATATGTTTTTTTCTTTTATTTCGCCTAGACATACACATTAATTTTACATTATTTCTGTCTAGCATTATCTGTACATTAACTGAATTATGCAGGTGGAATGTTTTTCAGTCTTTACATGCAGAAAATGTTACTTATATAAATGAGTTAAGCTAGAGCAATGAGTTTGATTATATAGAACAATCTACACATTGTATGGTGATACAACAGGGTGCAGTCAAATTATAAGTAGAATTGTAGTACATTAAAAAAAAACATTAAAAAAAAAGTTTCCTCTTTTTGAAATAAAGCTGGCCATACACCGTGAGAATTTTGTTTGAACATTAATTTAAAATCATACGTCAGAGTATTCAAGCATGCCATCCTTGAGTCAACTCATGTCGTTTGAAAGCTCCAGACCTGTCACTTGGAATGGGATTCTAGATATATTAAACAGGTTTCTTTTGCGCCTAGCACATGCGCATTACAATTTGTAAGATTTTTCAATCTGAAATCAAATTCACGGTTTGAATTTTGTTTGTTCAGATAAGAAACAAAAATGTTCCATCCTGCTTCTTTGATTTCGCCCACCACTACAGTCGAAAACAATTATCGATTAGACCCCACTAATCATTATAAAATTGAACGAGTGTTCCAAAATGAAAATTTTCAAGCACAATTATACCTGCCTATTCCATACATAAAATGCTACATAGAGGACTAAAGTATTTGGACCTGCTTCATAATAAAGTGGTTGTCAGTTGTCAAACCCAGAACTAGAATGGGACTTATCCTTTTAGCTTTCTACCTTTCCAGAGCCATTGCATTTTGTGTGTTTGAACAGCTATTGTATAGTTGTATTGATGTTTCCACCCCGGCCTCTCTTCAGTAATGTTCACCATGTGTCTGATGTTGTCCTGATACCTGCCTATCCTGTAGCTTTAATTCTGCCATTTTCTTCTCTTTCCTTCTGCCCTCTATTCTTTCTGCTTTGCTCTCCGGGATCACCTTCCAGCCAAGCGCAAAATGTGGAAATTAAAAACATTTGGTAGTTTAAGAAACATTTATAAAACAGGTAAAGAGCATACATAAGCTTTATCTTTCTTTCATTATTGGTGGAGGGAGCAATGCTCTGTTTTTAATGTAATATTTAATATGATGGAGCAATGTAATGCGTACTGAATAGTACAGTAGCTGCATGTTGCCTTCTTGTCATTCTCTAACATTGTCTTCTTTTAAAAACCAATCTTATGGCACTTATTTCTAACATCAGAAGGGAAGGAAAACATGTTCAAGCTTGTTCCAATTATGGTGCTATACTATTGCAGGGGTCATTTAGAAAATAGAAAAAACAAGGAACGGCAATACAAAGTTAGTTTCACTTTAATACATAGTCTAACAAAAGCATTGTATGAAATACGTGAGAGCCACATTAAAATATCGAATTGACCGAGAGGATCAGCCAAATGTTTGAACATTTCTTCTAGGCAAAGGCAGGTAAGTGTCTTACTGATGGTGAGCAATGAGACATGTACTCGTCATTGAATACATCAACAAAGATGCCAGCAAGATGTGACACAGTTTTCTCTGTGATGCAGCTGATGGGTGTTTGGATTAATGCGTATATCAAGCCAAAAACCTTATTCTAGTTTTGGATAGAGTAGGTAAAGAAAATAACTCCTTTAAGTTTTTTTTACTGCTCAAGCAGAAATAGCGAGCACTGCATTAAAAACAGACGTGTTACTAGTATATATTTTCAGAAAATCTTTGTGGAAGCCACACTGCCCTGTCAAGGCCCCTCTGTATAGTGCGGTCCCTTAATGCAGATCAATGCAGCTCAATGCACCTGTTCTAGACAGAAGCCCTAACTGAATCACATATAGCAGTACAAATCTGAAGAGGGATCTAACTCTTCCCTATTCTAGTTGAAAAAATATATTTTGGCCTGACATAACTTGGGTGGATTTAAATTTACTAAGATGGATGTGTTATTTTAAATCCATTCTTTAATTCCTACTATAATTGTCTCCTAAGAATGTTCAATTCACAAAAAGAAATACTGCTTAGAAGTGGAATTATTTTATTTTCATGAAATGGGCACTTAACTACCAAAAACCTTATTTTCCGATAAATTATTAAAGTGACATTAAAGCCTCAGATTTTTTAACATAAAACAATACTGTAATGTGTGCCTTACTGTAATCCATGGTTGTTTCCCTTCTCTTTGCTGCTCTTCCTTTTAAAATCTGTATCTGTTCTCATGCTGGGCAGAACTTCTGTTTTGCAGCAGACTGCCTTGTCTCTGGAATGGCTACATGGTGTCTGTGTGTAAGTTTGCAAAGCATGAGAAGACATGAGGATGTAAAAGGAAGAGCAGCAAAGAGAAGGGAAACAACCATGGATTACAAGGCACACATTACAATATTGTTTTATGTTAAAAAATCTGAGGGTTTAATGTCACTTTAAGCTCACAAAGTATTTTTTTACCACCCCCTCAAAGAGCTCATTTTTTCTTTAAACAGACACCTCACTGCAATTCTATCACCAGGGTGAAACTGGGGGTATTATCAAGAGTCATGTAAACTTTGTGATTTGATTTTAATTGTCAAAATTCCTGAGAGATTGCTAAAATAAAGTGCGTATGTTAATGCTTTTAATGAACTAAAAAATCTATTCTCAGTGGTTAAAAAAAGAAGCAAATTGCACACAGTAATGATAATGTGTGTTCTGCTTTTTTGACTGTTACCCATTCCTTTTTGTCCATAGAGAAGAAACAAAAAGTCCCCCTAGCCCTGCATGGCCAAATGCTTAAGTAGGGTATACACTGGTAGATTTCTCTATGAAAAATCTCATCAGAATGTTGATAATGCCATCAGAGACTTGACCAATGTAAAATTTTGTTTGATTTTTATTTTGATATAACAATTGATTTTGGACCGAATGGGTTTTCCTGAACAAAAACCACATTTGAGAAACATTTTCCAAGAAGCTCCTTTGCATTTTTCGTAACTGCTGTCAAAATTGATCATCAAATTGACCCCATCAACTATTAGGAAGTCGAACGAACGTTATGAAATTGATTTTGTTCATTGGAAATTCATTCAGTATATGCTTACTTTAGTATTGCATAAAATGCTCAAACCAGGTACATTACCAGCAATAATTGGGCCATTTATCATCAGACATGTAGACGGGTCATATATAGAATGGTCTAGTCCAGCGTTTTTCAACCACTGTGCCGCGGCACACTAGTGTGCCGTGAGATATTTTCGGGTGTGCCGTCAATAAATCGTTAATTTCTTTGATCGATCAAAATTATTTTGATCGATCAAAGTTACTCACCTCTCCACCGGCTTCCGGGTCTTCCGTCGGAAGATCCGGTGACGTCACGGACATCGACGTCACCGGACTCCTCCCCCCTTCCCCGAGTGGCTCTGTCGGCTAACGAAGGGAAGGGGGGAGGAGTCGGGCTTCTCCCTCTGCCCTGGCCACGCCTCCTCGTACACCCGGCAGCTCGCTTTCAGGCCCCATCAGCGGCGCGCTGCCGGGTGTGCGAGGAGGCGTGGCCAGGGCCGAGGGAGAAGCGGCCCGGCCGTCGGAGGCTGCGGTGCCTCTCCAAGAAGCTGTGGGGACAAAGGATGACATGGTGGGG